CGCCCACTAGTGGGCGGTAGGGACCAGATTGACTACCACTGCTCTAAACCATTATTTAGTAACTAAACTATAACTAACTTGGATTACAAACCTTAACAGATGCATTTATGCAATATGCTGAGCTAGACAGAAAGAATTATGGGTAGTATTAAGTATGAATTCAAATATACATTGTACCTAAAATAAATATGCACAATATTCCTGATAATACACAGCTGTCTTATATTATGCCAGAGATGACGTAGTATTAGGTATTTTCATTTAGTATGCATTTTTATTCTAGTGAGGCATATTTTCCCTGCCTTCCACAATTCTAGAGGAGTTGATTTAAATGATTCAACAAAGATCAGCTAGTGAACTTCCATGGCTGAAAGTATTTAGAATCTGGGTCTCCTCCCTGCTCGCCCAACACCTCAACCATTATATAACACCAGATCTTTCACTACTTTCCCACTAGACCAGGATATACACTGGCAGCAGCTCTGTAGCATTTGAAATAGCTCTTTCATATCACCTGTCACCCTAATGGGAGATACAGGTAGTCCTTGACTTACAACAGTTCATTTAGTGACCGTTCAAAGTTACAACGGCACTGAAAAAAAGTGACTTATGACCATTTTTCAAAATTACAAACTTTGCAGGATCCCCACAATCACGTGATCAAAATTCAGATGCTTGGCAACAGGTTCATATTTATGACCATTGCAGTGTCCCAGGGTCATGCGATTGCTTTTTGCAACCGTCTAACAAGCAAAGTCAACAGGGAAGCCAGATTCACTTAACAACTGGGTAAGTAACTTATCAACTGCAGTGATTCACTTAACAACTGTGGCAAGAAAGGTCATAAAATGGGACAAAACTCACTTAACAAATGTCTCACTTTACAATAGAAATTTTGGGCTCAGTTGTGGTCAAAAGTCCAGGATTCACCTGTACTAACATTTGATAAAGGTACATTTCAATGCAAAGTGTGTACTGTATTTTATCATGATCAACTCTCCTTCCCTAACCCCCTTCACCTTTGAGCAGGGACAGACCATTTAGGGCTCCTCCAGAGCAGCTCTTAACGCCATTCAGCATTCTCAACCACAAGAGGCCATTGCAACTGTAATTTATAACAACTGGAACAACTAAAGGAAGCCAAAAGGCCTCATTTTAAAACAAATCAGTTATTATCATTAATCTAAATCTATCTTTTCCAATTCAATGCCTTCTAGATAAGTTAGATGCACCTCCTATCATTGCTGGCCTAAAGTCACATGGATAGGGGTATAAACCAAGTTACCGTTCAACACGGAGCATGTCAGGTCACAAGAGGCTGCGAAAGCTTCAGCTTTTCTAATGCAGTTAGTTAGACTTAAGGTTGCGCACCACAAAGATCATCTTCCATATCATTTTATGTGTCCCTTGCTTTTTATTGAGGTTCTAAAAGTGAAGCAATTAAACTTGCCAAACCAGAAATAATTTGCCTAGGTAGAAAATTGTTCCTACTGCCGAAGTGACATAAAGGAGCTGGCATACATTTGAATTACATTAATAACTGCACTTTCTTCTACTCTTGATGTTCTTTTGTAAACTAACTTTTAAAATATTTTCCAGAGTTGTGGAGACTAAGAAACATGTGATATAAAAAAAAGTTTGAAAACTGGTTTAGTATGGTAACCTACCTTGTATTTTCTCTTCCTAAGACATTTCCTATTAGATTTGTCATGATTTGGCTGAGGCTTCAATTCTGATAACAGAATAGGAAGGACCTTGGAGGTCTTCTAGTCCATACCCCTGCTCAAGCATCTCTATCATTTCAAACAAATGTTTGTCCAGACTTTTTGAAAGCCTCAGGTATTGAAGCACCCACAACTTCTGGAGGCAAGTAGTTCTATTGATTAATTGTTCTGTCAGGAAATTTCTCCTTAGTTCTAGGTTAGTTCTCTTCATGATTAGTTTCCATTCATTGCTTCTTGTTCTACCTTCAGATGCTTTGGAGAATANGAAGGAAGGAAGGAAGGAAGGAAGGAAGGAAGGAAGGAAGGAAGGAAGGAAGGAAGGAAGGAAGGAAGGAGATAGCACATGACAGGTCCTAAATGGGGAGGATACAAGAACTATTGTCTGCCCAGTTTTGCCTGTTGATGGCTTCCACTTAATCCCTACTAACTCTCAACCATTCGCTGTGAGAAGAGGAGTAGCAAGAACCATGATGCTACCCTCCCAGTGTCCAGGCTTGGAATGCAGGCCTGTAATGGACTGCTTAAAGATTTTCCACAAGTTGAAGTACTGCAAGGACAACCAGCAAAGCCTTCACAATGGCCACCATATCCACTCAAGCTGACCTCTTAGTGGCAAAGGAAGCTTCCCACTTCAGTGTTCCATTGATCCTTCTCTTCCTTTATCTGGAATGTGCAATCCTTAAGGAAGCTCCTTAGTCCTGACTGCACTAATCTTGACAGTGCACAGTTTGTCATACAGTAATTAGATGAGAGACTCTCAGAGACCCTGTTTGTGCAACGCCTTGCCCACCATGTGTTTTATTTCATTTCTTCTCAAGCTGTTCCAGCAATGGATTGGCTTCATTCTCTGGTGTTTTCACACTATCTGTCCGAACAATGCAGGTGGGACGGTGGCGATTCAGCATCAAAATCAGCTGCTGCCTCTCCTGCTTTAGCTCTTCTATCTGTGCCTTCAGCTCAGCATTCATGAGTTCCAGGCGCTCAGATTCCTATGCAAAATCAGAGAAATGTGGAGGTGAAGTTTTTGGTTTCTCACTTACACTGTGGAAAAAAAGCCACTGCCTCATCCAACATCCAAAGCAAAACAGACAGACAGAGCACTTCTCTGCATTGTGAAGCACGCATGGAGAATAACACAGGCGCTTCCAGGAAATCAGAGGATTTTCTTCAGATGTTTTATCTATCTTTATAATAGTAGAAGGAACAAGGGGTCACACTCACCCGCTGCAGGAATTCAGTTCTCTCTTTCTTCTTGTTCCGACATCGAGCAGCTGCCACTTTGTTCTTCTCTCTGCGTCTTTTCCTCCTTTCCTCTTCCTCATCTAGCTAAAAGAGAAAAACGCAAGTGCAATAAGAAAACTGAACAAAGACAAAGAATCACATGATGCTAACTACATCTCACCCCCTCAGTGCATGACGCTTTCCTCCACAAAACATTTAATCCTTAAACTGCCATAGGGACAAGGATTGAAATACTCAAATCTATATTCTGCTTTTTTGTCTGTGGGCTTTTTAACAAGCCCACAGACAGATTCGCATGTCCTGATACTGATGTGGAATAGATGCCTACAGCTTAAGAGGGAGAGTGGTAATGTATGCCACTAATTATTCATCAGGCAATTAGCACCTTCAAAATATTCTTCTCCCTGCCCATGCATAAGCAGAAGGAGATTCAGGGCAGCATATCATTAAGCTCGTGGACCATTTATCATCAATGAGGCCTGGGTGACATTTTATATCACTACTGAATAAAGCTTCAGCAAAGAAGCCATCTAAAATTCTTCTCCTGGGAATCTCATTGTAAAGGATCCTGAAAGATTTAGATTATTTGGGTGACCTTCAGCCAATATCTGCAGCACTCCTGTTAAAATGAGCCTGGTATGCAATGCTGAAATCAACCCTGTTTAGATGGAATAACCCAGTGGTGGGTTTCAAAAATTGTTCGAACCTACTCTGTGGGTGTGGCCTCCTTTGTGGGAGTGGCTTGCCACCCATGTGACNTAGCTAGCTAGCTAGCTATTGTAAATGGGTAGGTCTCAGGTTCCACTGCAATCTTCCTGCTGATGCAAAAGCTACTATATTATTTGCTGCTGGAACATAGCTAGAAACAGAGGCATCTTCCAAAGTATACATTCAAGAAAGGGATCCAATGCCTTTGAAGCCCTTCTTCTGTAAGTCTTCCATTCCCTTGTTTATCGACTTCACCAGTAATAGCAGCAATGAAAGAATATGGATAATAATCCTCTCAAGGTGCCCCATCAGAAGCACTTGGCTGGAGTCCCCACTAGGCTATCGGTGGTTGAGAGTGAGAGAAGTTATAGTCTAACAAAAACTGAGGCATTGAAAATGCTTCTTCAAAGCCTCTTATTCAACTAAAGGTCGAAATGAATTGTACCTAGCTTTATTAGGCAGATCACCATATTTTAACCCCCGTTATAATGCTGCTCATTCTTTCACTTCTGCAACAACAAAAGAATCTCTTTGGTATTGATCTATGTTTCTAGAACAATAACTATAGAAATAAAGATCATATTTCAATGAGAAAGTCCCTGGAATTTGGGACAGAGATGCAATATTCCCATGGCGTTTACTGCATAATGGCCAGAGGTTACAGAGCAAACAGCCTCATTTGTCTCTTCAATCCTCCAGAACAAGCATATAATCTCAAGACAGCTATCTGCTGCTCCTTGCAAGGAAGATGGATTTTGACTGCAAGTCCTATGTCCCCCTGACCCACCCACACAAATGGGCATTTTAAACTGTTAGGAACTGCACAAAGAATTTGACATCCTAACAACTGGTCTCCCGAACGCCCCCACAAGTTTGCCGATTCCCAGTGGAGAACTCTGGCAAGAGCCTGCAGATTGCTTCCATGCAAGCGTCAAGAAATAAGCTGAAAAATTCCTAGCCTGACTCAGTGAAGTATTTGTCTCGGCTCAGCTCTCCAAGCCCCAACACATGTGCGTGCGCGCACACACACACACACACATGCATATACACATACAGCCAGTGAGTTTGGCAGTCCTTGCGTTCCAGGGCTGGTAATACAAGCCATGGAGCAAGCTGCCAAGACAAGCAACAGAACGAGCCAGGCTCCATTTCATTGGCCACCATCAGTTGCATATGGCCCTGGAACCAGCCAAGCGAGTGTTCTCACCCACCTTGAGGGCATAGGAGACCCTGTGTTTTCAAGTACACCTCCGCAGGGCCTTCATTAAAAGAAAAAGAAACATAATGTGGCTCTTGCTTGCTGTTTTTTCCCCTCTCAATTTCATCTGCAATCTACTCTCAAATAATTAAGGGCAGGGGCTGGGGAAGAAAGAAAAGGGCCTTCTAGAGGGAAGTGCAGAAAACCAGCTTTCGCTCCATTTCATGCTTGATACTAAAGTGAACTTAGGATTCTTTCTGTGCTTAGTTTCCTTTACAGGTTTCAGAGAGGTGGAAGATCTTTTGTGAAATGGCAGACACGAAGCATCCACTTTCCAGAACAAAACAGATCAGGTGGATGTGAGCTCAGCTCAAGCTTTAGTCAAAAAGATTACTAGCCTGCACAATCGCGTTGTGCAACCCAAAGAAGTGAACAAGCGGACTGGCAAAAAGCACCATTATGCCATTACTCTCTTTGCCAGTCTAAACAGAAAGAAAGAAGCTCTCAATCCGAGTTAGTAACAAGATGCTTTTCAAAGGGATTAAGACAGCATTCTGTGCATTTATGGGATCTATAGCCTACAGTGCAAAAGCATACGCAGCAAAACTGTTCTGTGTAAAAAAAGAAAACACGGAACAGCAACAAAAAACTCATCAGTTTTCCAGAAAGTCACAATGTTTTTCAAGAAAGCACTCAAATTTATAGCAATAGGCAAAAGATATGCAAAGAATGCAGCACACTGTAAATATGGCCCCACAAAAGATGCTTTCTTCAGGCCTTCATGCTCTTGTTTTCAATCAGTAAAATAAAACTTACATGCCAGAAAAGGTGTGGCTAACTAACAGACACGTCCAAATCAAAGCTATGAAATTTGCAAGCTTCAAATCACTTTTCCTAGCTCCTCCAGGCATGGCCTAGCTCAGTTTAACTAACACTTCTGCATCCACAACTTTAACCCCATTATAGTCTGGAAACTAAACCAGTGGGGATGGTCCTGTCCTGAAGCAGAAAACTCATTCATAAAAGCCCTAGAGACACATGAATGGATGGGGAAACATATCCTCTAGATTAGTGGAAGAAAACCTATGGCTGAAGCAGGAACATTATTAATAAGAAAATCATAAGAAAGGGAAGGGGGAAGTTAGCACAGAAGGCATAATTCTTACAGCAATTCTATATAACACATAAGTAAACTACAGCTCTGTTATTTGTTATCTATTGGGAGCACTCTGTAGCTCTTATCTCTTTGAGGACACAAAAGCCTTCTTGTCATTCTCCTACCTGGAAAAGCCAGCTCACCATGCTGTTTCTTCCCTAATATCAAATAGAAGCCTTGCTGTCCTGTGTTCCTTTACTCTTGAGAAATGGGTGGATGGAAGAAGAGCCAAATAGGTGGATAAAGAAGGAAAAGATTCTGATAGGACATGCAGGAAAAGGAAGAAAAGCAAACAGTGAAATAAAATGTCCAATTATGATGCAGGACACCCAAAAAACTTCCAGTAGGATGAAGAAAAAAATGTCCCTTTGTGGAACTGTTTATCAATGAAAAGTGAAATGAAAATGTTCTAAATAAAATGGTTATAAAAGAAAATACAAAATTAAACTGGAATAAAATTCTTTTCCTCCTAATGTTACATCGCTGCCTCGTTAGTAATTTACAGCATTCCTAAACATGATAGCTGGACAGTATACCTGCCTTAAAGGGTCACCTCTGACCTGAGGTATGTTGCACAAGCATCCTCTTACAGTTTAATCTAACTACCAATATCAGTGCTTTGTTGCCGATGCCAAGAATCCTGCCTTGATGCAATTTACTAGATTAGGAAAGGAAATTTAATTCAACCTTTCTCCAGCCCAGATTCCCCCAGCTGCTTGGAAAGTTAGAATACCGAATAGTGCCTACAAGAAACCAGGGAGAAAGCTTTCAGGATATCCCGATACCCGACAATGAAATTTACGTTCCGCATCGATTCATCCAAAATAAATAAATAGCAACGGAGCTTTCTCTCCCATTACTAAGTATCAGTTTCCCGCTCACTATACAAATGTACCGGAATTTTGCACTGGGGGTGGGGGGAAAGCGGCTACGATATTTAGACACTCAGCGTGTCAGCAAGGCAGTGAAAGAGTCCTAAGCAGCAGCTAATGGGGGGCGCGGCAGCTTCGACCCTGGGAATGCGCCAATGGCCCGGGGCTAGCAGCCCCCAGAGCGGCTGAGGCTCCACCATCGTCGCTCCTGGGGGAAAGCACAGGCCCCGAGCAGGGACGCCGAAAGTCAGATCCGACGATCGCAGCCTCGGCAGGCGGACCAGGAAGAAACCACGCGCGGAGCTCCCGCAGCACCAACCCGCCCTTCCGCCGCGCGCAATCCTTTTCTGTACCCACCGGAGGGACGGAAAAGGCGCCCCCGGGGCCCGGCTGCAGCGGGAGCCGAGTCGCACGCTCAGCTCCTCCAGCGCCGCCGCCGCCGCCGCCCAGCGCCGGGAGCGACTCTCGCCTTCTCCCTCCAGGCCCGCCGTGCCGATCTCAGCCTGGTCCCGGGACCGATCCCTCCTGCGGCCGCGGGCACGCCTGGGTCGCAGCAGCCCCGCCTTCACCGCCAGCCGCTTGGCCCCTCTCGCAGGCTGTGCCGGACGGCTGGGTGGGTTGCATCAGCCCCTATTATATAGCAGCCCCTGCGCTGCGGGGAGGGGTCGGGAATGCGGAACCGGCCGGGCTGCCAGTTCCAGACGTCAAGGTGGGAGGAGAAGAGGGGACCGCAGGGGAGGAGATCGCAGCCGGCGTGGGGGGAGGCGGGACTTTTCGCGGGCAGAGCAGGATGGCTCTCCTGCCCGTTCCCGCCAGGCGCCCCTCTCGTCCACTCTCAGCTTCCCCCTGCGCCCCCCCCCCCAAATGCTCAAGTCCAGTCGGAATGGAAGCAGGAGCCCGAGCAAGTGCAGGACGCCAGCTTTCACATCGCTGTAACCGGGAAGGCTTCCAGGTCAAAGGGCGTGACTTCCAAGCGGGCAATATAACCTCGCTCGGCACCTTCTCTCTCGGAAGGAAAGCTGCGAACTGGGCTGGGCGGTTTTTCCGGATGATAAAAATAGTTCCTTTTGCTTAATGCGGGCCATTCAGCCAGCGAAGCCGAAAGAGCATCTGGCTCAGGGCCACTTTTGATTTGAAAGTTCACTTAATT